AGGGGTGGTATAAATAAGTATTACCACCCTTTGCTGTGGACTTAATAATTGTGAATCAATTTTACGTATATATTCTCTTTTGGTCCAAGTTAAAATCATGGATGTTATCAATATTAGTATCATTTTTTTTTTCTGTTATGAAGATGTGTAAAACCAAACCTTAAAATCACCATTGTTTTTTGGTGGGGCCTGTCTTGTGCAATATTGGATTATTAACGTCTGTGACACCTCTCCAATTGTGCTCATTAAAAGTGTCCCCAGACCTTGATGAAAGTCCCTTGGAGAGCAAATTCTCCTTGGTGAGAACCACCAAGGTAAGACAACATATCTGATAAATGGAAGAACCTTGAATTGTGCTGCAAATCCTATACAGATAGGAGACTGAATAATGCTAATCTTTTCATTCCCTTTCCTTGTTTCCTTTCCACCTCACAAAGTTCTCTGTCCAAAGCTGAGTAAATCATACTTTCTGACCTAAAGAAAGAGAGGAAGATTCTATCATCAGATAGAATTACTCATATTATTCCAGATATGTTTACTATTATTGTTAATGCAGGTAGACCAAAGAGTCTGGAAATAATCCTTTGGTTGGTATTTAAAATCAAATCAAAACAAAAAGTGATACTTTACCCCATTTCCATTAAGATTGTAGCTTTTGTTATGAATTCTCTAATAAATTACTTCATTTAAGTCATGTAGTTTATGGTGTTCGTTGGCAGGAAAATGTTGAAAATATTTTACTGTTATGGCAAATTTCACATTAAGCTATATTTCAAAATGTCATTAGTAAAAGTTCTGGAAAAAGAACACTCACTACCAAGTGATATGCTACCAAAAGATGGATTGCTACTATTTTAGATGATTTAGTTGTACCAATTATATGTATTTTTTAATGTTATACCCTACATGATTTCCAGTAAAACTTTGATTTTAAATGTAAACAGCATTTACTTAAACATTTTATTCACTCAAAATGTAAATACTAAGTTCTGTGTTCTTATAAGTTTTTCTTTAAATGTTAGAAATTGTCTATATATAGACACACTCTGCATTGAATTAAATGAAATAATTTTCATCCTAGCTTTTTTTTGTGACATTATTTCTATTTGCTAAATGATGAAAAAGTATTTAGTTATGAAATGAAATGCAGAGTGTAATAGATTGTTCTCTAAGCAAAACATTTCAACTGCTCTCTTGGTTCTTGCAAGAATGCTTAGCACTTACATGTGAGTTCTCATTGCTTACAAATATTGTCAGCTATAAAGGGAGCAGAGTCTTAGATAATTGAACATAGGGCTAGCCTAGAATTCATTTGACTTTAAATTATTTTGAAATTTGTGTTGGAATATATATATATATATATATATATACATACACACACACACAACTATAAATTTTTTTCTTTGATTAAGAAATATTCACTTCACATGGATGTTGACTTTGGGACCTTAATGTGTTAGAATATTGACATCTCTGAAATAGGTATGTTCAGCATTTTCCACAATATATTAAACTGTATAGTTATGCTTTTGTCTTGAAATAAACCAAAAGTTCCCCAGCTGTTTCTCTATTTCTGTTCAATACCTTACTGGTTCCTAATTGCCTTCTAATCTAATTTGTGGCAGTAATGGACTGTAAAAACCTTTTAGATGCAAACTGACTAAAACAGAATTGCCTTTATTTCTCTATTGCAATTTTCAATCTAATTTTAGTTTGGGATATAATAATTTGATCTTAAAAGTTTTTCATTTTTTAGAAATTTGTATTTATCCTCTGTCTCTCATTTAGTTGGCTGACCAAAAGTGATAGCACCTGATTTTCTTTATAGATGTAGTCTTCAGTCTAAAGTTTGAGTGTAAATTAAGTTATAATCTAATGTGATTGTGATTTAAACAAATCAAAGTGAGCCAATTATTCCTAAAACTTTTTGTGTATGTCTGCTGTACACTGACTGTTTTGTGGACTGGTAATCCAGAGTTGATAGATATACATAGTCTTTGAGACGTTTGCACTTTTCAGTTTGGTTAGGGAGTGATGGGAAGGAGGGAGAAAGAAAATAATATGTTATGGTAAGTGCTATCATTGGGATAGGGAAAGGTTGTCCTGGGAGTACATAGAAGGGCCATTTAACCTAGAGTTTGAAATGTTGAGAAATGCTTCCAGGAGCAGGTCACATCTGCATTGAGTCTTGAATAATAAACAGGACTTATCAAGGTGAAGAAGAATAGAAGCCTATTAAAAGACTAAGATGATATGACCAGAGAGATAGAAGGTAAGTCTTTGAACAAAGAGTGGCTATCATTTATTGAACCCTTCTATGTGCCTAACTCTGCACGAGAAGTTTTAAACAGCTTAGTTCACAGTAACCTGTGGGGCAGGTTCTATCACCTGTAGTGTGCAAATGAGGAAACAGAGTCATAACTTCCTTCAGATTATGACATGGTTACTGAGTGGCAGAGCTATATTTTAGAATTTGGGCTTTTCTGTTTATTTTTTGGCTAGGCCTTCATCCCAGGAAAGGACAGTTTCAAGATGGAGGTCAAAGTTAAATAGTTACCATGTTGATGAAAAGTCAGGTGTGTAGGCTAAGTACTGAAAGTGTCTAGGGGCATTCCTAGTGACTTGTTTGTTCATTCAAGAAATGTTTACTGATAGTCTCTTATGTGCCCAGAACTATGTTAGGCATTAGGAATAAAGTGTCAAATGCAAAAGTGGTAGAGGTCAAGGGTGAAGGAAAGCAGAGATACTGACTGAAATCATAGTTTGGAAAAGCTTGATTACAAAAGAAAAGATAGCAACTTGGCAGTAAATGTAGGGGAAATCAGTAGTCTTTGTTTGCTTTGTTTTTCTTCTTTTTGTTTTTGGGTACTGAGGATTGAACCCAGGGGATTTTACCACTGAGCTATATCAATGGGCTTGCTTTTTATTTATTTATTATGTTTTTATGCAACTCCATGTTCCCCCATTCATTACACAGGCCAGGCATGCGACCCAGGCTGAGATATATATGCAATAGGCTTTCTCTGCCCCCTCTTTCTATGTGGCTGGGAGGCCTGTTTTATTTTAATATTGGAAATACTTTATTTGGTTGTAAAAAAAAAAAAAGAAAAAGCGACATAGCACGGGAAAGGTTGCAGATTCAAAAGAAGGAACTGCTAGACTCCACATGTTTAGTTAAGTACATTGCAAAATAATCAATGAATTTATAATGGGCATAGAATTTTAGTGTATTATCTTGCTCTTGGGCAAGTGGAGACTTGAATAAACAATGAAATCTCTTATTCAGATGATCACAGTGACCTCTTTAGTCTGATTTATGCTCCCCTCTTTATTGTCCCTGAGTTATTCACTCTGGACTCTGTTATAGTATTATTTGCATTGAAATAGTCATTGTTGTTTACCTCTTAGAACATTGGCTTCTTGGGAAGGGGGATGAATAGAGACTGTCTAATGCACTTCAATAAATTGTACTTTAACAAATAAATAATTTAATAAATAAATCACTAATAAATGCTTATTGAATCAGTGAATTTGTGAATAACTCTTGGTTTTTTATTTGTACCATTCCTGAACAAGGTTTTTTGCTTTTTAGCTTTTAAGGGTTAAAAAATATATACCTATCTTGTGAAAACTTTTTTGTCTCTTAGAAATAAAATATAGAATATATAGAGGTATGCCCAAATACAAATAAAGAGGATTTTTAATATTTTGGATACTGAGATCCAAAATATGGTTATTGTTAAGGAAGTCTGAAATGATTATTTTATATATAGGTAATAGTATGCTTAAAAGTAATTTTTGAAATTAAAGTACAATAAATGGTGGTATCCTAATTTATTAATTTCCTTCAGTTACTCTCTTTGTAAGTTTCTCCAGGCAATGCAAACAGTAAAATAAAGGATTATATTTTAGTAAAGTGTAATCAGATTTTAATGTAAGTTGTGATTTTATTTTAGTATTCATTACCAGGGGAACAGTGTTTTATATAAAACACGTCTTTTAAATTTGTCAGCAATTATAATTGTTAGATAATTTAAAAATTCTAATTTCAATAATAATGATTAGGCAGTCTGTTCTTTCCTTTATGTCTGTTAAATTCACTTTGATTTTTGTAACATAGAATTTTCAAAACCATCCCTCAAAAGTTTTGAGGTTTGTTCACTCTAAAGTACATTTAATGAAAAGGAAAAAAAAACAAATGGAAATTCATTTTGTTTTATTCCAGTTTTTTTTTTCTTTAGTACTGTGGATTAAACCCAGGTCTCTCCAATTTGCCTAGATTGCCTGGAATTTGTGATCTTACTGCCTTAAGCTTCTGAGTACTGGGATTCCAGCATATTTTTTTCCATATTTTTAAATTAGTGCATAATAATTGTACATAACAGTGGAATTTGTTGTTATATATTTAGACATGCACACAATATAATAATATAATTTGGCTGATATTGTTCCCCCTTCCTTTTCCTTCCCTCCTTCTTCCCTACAGCAGAAGAGCCTTGTGCATGCTTGTAAATGCTCTACCTCTAAGCTACATTCCCAGTCCTTACTCTGTTTCTTGATTTCCAAAAACAAATTCCCAGTTTCTCCCTTATGAATTATATTATCAGCAACTATTCATTTATTTTTGGATCATGTTAAATGTTTAGGTTATGTTAACAAATAATTTTGTATGACCTAAATAATTTCTTAGGTTTTTTTTTTTAGAGTTTTAAAATCAGTTTATTATCAGCTGAAACAGATGAAAAAAGATATCCTTATACTTTTTTCTGCTGTTTAAAAATACTTATTTTTATTGGTACATTATAAATTATACATAATAGTGGATTCATTATGCCATATCTGTACATGCATATAACATAAATTGATTAATCTCATTTGCTATTTTTAAGCCATGTGTTAAAAAAGCCAGTAATATAATTTTAAAAAATTATATATTTCCTATGATATGTAGTTCTCCCCAAATACATTATTATTGATGTCATGGAATTTTGCTTTTTCAGAATCCTGTCCAAAAGATTCCTGACTCACATGAGATAACACTGAAGCATGGCACTAAAACAGTAAGTTTAAAAAATTTGGTTTGTTTCTCATAATAACAAGGTTCTGATGGAAAAATGAACTAATGGGATATCTTTTTCCTAAGGCTTATTACACAATCTACTGATGTCATAGAAGCTATAGACATTATAAAAAATTGACTCTTTTATGTTCAGCCAAATAGCCAGTGCCTTGCATTTAAAGTGGGCACACTAATTGTCAGTGTTATTGTTGGCTTTTAAAACCTCTAGTTCTTTGACATAGAAACATAGAAACATTGCAAGTGGAAGAAAGAAAAGAGATTTAAATACAATTTTATTTTTAATGATGTGAGAAAATTTCTTATTATCCTCAGCTTTATTTGTGTATCTGTAGGAGGCATAAGTTGTTCACTTTTTCAGATGAATATTAAGTCAGGAATGAACTGTAAGTAGTCATTTTATTACTCTAAGGTTATATTAGTTTTTAGATATTTTATATCATTGTATTTACTTTTGTTATTTAAAGTTGAATAATACAAAATATTTGAGATACAAACTGAAATTGTGTATCATATTGCAAAATCTTTAAAAAGTATAGTTGGATGAGTGAAACATGCATATAAAATGAAAGAATAAAATTCTTATTTTACCTTTTCAAAGAAATTACATTTTTGTAGATATCTGGTGTGTAGAGAAGAAAATACATCCTATAATGAGAGAGAAAGTCTTAGTCAATAGTGATGGATTCAGAAATAACACAAATGATAAAATTAACAGGAATGTAAAAAAAGTGTCATTATTCTCAAAAAAACTTTTTAAAGTATTGTTTTCATAAAAAATATTTGTCAAATATAACTGGATGGTACATATCTGTAATTCCAGCTGCTTAGGAGGTTGAGGCAGGAGGATTGAAAATTGGAAGCCAGTCTGAGTAACTTAATGAGACTGTCTCAAAAAAAAAGGGAGGTGGTGGTGGTGGATGGGATTGTAGCTCTGTGGTAGAATGCTTGTCTAGCACATAGAGGCCTTTGCTTTGATCACTAGTACTGTAAAAAACAAAAGTCAAATATAAAGATTCATTGTTATTTAAAGCAAAATGGAAAATACTTTTAAATGTCTTAATTATGGTTTGTTTGTTTGCTTATTTATTTATTTATTTTGTGGTGACCTTAAAATTTATTTTCTAAATAAGGATGTTTAAGAATGGAAGGGGTAGTAAGTAGTAATTATTCCTGGGATGGAGCCCTAAAGCAGGTTGGTCCCAGGAAAGGTATGGTGGTGGTCAGCAGAATCTTAATAGTTTCTCATGAGAAAGTCAATTTACAACATTAATGAACATGTTGACATATTAAGATAGTGAAGCCTTGGATAGTGACTTAAATGTCATATTATTACCACATACATTGCTCCTCAGGAAAGTAAATTTAATTTACTTTAAGAAACAAATCCTAACAAATACTCTTCCTTATCGTATATACATAATTAGTAAATGTAATTTCTTCCATAAACATGTAGAATAAGCTTGTGGTAATTACTTTTCCACTGTAGCAATGATGAAGCCAACTCTGAAATCTCAATAACATGCTGACAACAGTATAAACAGAAGAAGACTAAAAGCAAAGCTGTGTCCCTATTTTGCAGGGACCAGGGCATGTCCTACAAGGCCAACTGAGGACTCCAGCCCAGGCTCTTACAAATTGGAGGTATAAGATCCTCCTTTGCTGGTGGTATCATAAAACCAGATCACCAAGCAGGTGCAGAGAACTACCAGGCTGCAGAGAGCTCAGACATGTATTATCCCATTAAATGTCTCTGACATCCTATGAAGTGAGCAGGATAAATGCCATCATCTCCTTTAACAGAAGAAACATGAAGGAACAGAGATTAAACTGTGGGTTCAAAGTAGCAGCCAAAAAAGAGGCTAATTTGCTAGTTTGTCTGACTTCCAAGAATGTTTATATGCCAATTGTCATAAAGGAGCAAAGAATAAAGAGCATTAGTCAAATGATCATTTAAATTAAATCTCTGCATACTGTTGGTGCCTTGTCATCATAAACCTGAGCTTCTGGCCAGAAGATCTGCTATAGCAGCCTGATATGTAATATCCAGCTTCTGCTTTTCATGTTGCATTTTGCATCTTCTGTGAAATATAACACTAACCTCAAAGCAATAATTGTGGTATATATATTCATTTTAAAGAATGATTTTTTTTCAGTTGTTGATGGACCTTTATTTTATTTATTTATATGTGCTGCTGAGATTCGAACCCAGGACCTCACACATGCCAAGCAAGTGCTATACCGTTGAGCTACAACCCCCGCCTCTTAATTGTGATATATTGATATACATAAATATTGATATATGTAAATGTTGGCTCACACAAACAAAAACTCTTTGGGGTCCTTGATAGATTTTAAAACTGTAAACGGTCTCAATAGATTTTAAAATCTCAAAAAATTTTGGAGCTGGCCATGGTGGCACATGCCTGTAATCCCAGCAGCCCAGGAAGCTGAGACAGAAGGATCACAAGTTCAAGGCCAGTCTCAGCAATTTAGCAAGACCCTGTCTGAAAAGAAAAAATAAAGAAAGGGCTGGGGACATGGCTCAGTGATTAAGCATCCCTAGCTCAAATCCTGATACCCAAAACCAAACAAACAAAAACAACTCCAATGCATCTTACCCACTGAAAGTCAGTTGGAGTGTCTAATCATGCTGTTGGATCATTTGTTTGCAATTCTGCTTTTGCTTTGCGTGTATTTACATTTCTTGTAAATGTCAGATATTAGGAGAGTTACTCTTTGATTTGTAGAGTTACTCTTCTATTTGGTCTTGCCTTTTAAAGATGTCAGTTATTATAACATGTTCATAAAGCCAATCTTGTTTCCTTTAGACTTTGTATTTTAGTGCCCTTATACTCCACTTTTTTCGCTTGCCTCTCATGTGTAAGACCCTGGGTTGGATCCTCAACACCACATAAAAATAGATAAACAAAATAAAGATATTGTGCCCATGTATAACTAAAAAATATATTTTTTTAAAAAAGCAAATACGACATGGATATAAAGTACAACCAGAGAAATAAAAAGTTGTGCTCTGTTTGAATCAAAATGCATTCTGCTTGGCTAGGGTGGTGGCTCAGTGATAGAGCTCTTGCCTAGCATGTGTGAGGCATTGGGTTTGAGTCTCAGGACCACATATACGAAAATAAAATAAAGATCCATCAACAACTAAAAAACCAAAGAAAATGCATTCTGCTATCATGTGTAACTAATTAGAAAAAAAAATAGAAAAAGCAAATACGAGACTTCATATGATTTTATCTATAAATATATTAGTCTAAATCCTTAAGAGATAAGATGGGGCTGTCCCTCACTCTTTCTGAGTGCATACTGTCTGACATGATAACATCTTTACATCTAATTTTTCTGGCAATTTTTAAATATCATCTAATATCCCACTGAAGTTTTTATTTCTCCAGTTGTCTTGTACATCTTTTTACAGTTTGTTCAAATCAGTGACCAGTGTTGTCTGATTTACTCATGTTAGACCATCATTGATTTTTGTCATATCTCTATAATAGTTATTCTGTTTCATAGCATATGTTAGAAGTTTACTACTGTATCTGTGTAGTAAGTATATTTGGAAATGGGAAATTTAAGTTCTTCAAATTTGCCCTACTTTAAAAAAATTGCTCTAATTAGTTATATATGATGGTAGCATGCATTTTGACACATCATATATAAGTGGAGTATAACTTCTCAATCTTCTGGTTGTATATGATGTTGAATGACACTGGTCATGTAATCATATATGTACTTAGGGTAAAAAAGTCTGCTTAGTTCCACTTCCTTCCTCCCATATGCCCTCCCCTCCCTTCACTCCACTCTGTTTAATCCAGAGTACCTCTATTCTTTTCTAGTCCCTCTCCCCCACCTTATTGTGAATTAACATCCATATATCAGAAAGGACATTTGGCCTTTGGTCCTTTGGGATTGGCTTATTTCACTTGCTTTGATAATCTCCAGCTCCATTCATTTACTGGAAAATGCCATAATTTCATTCTTCTTTAAGGCTGAATAATACTCTGTTGTGTATATATACTACATTTTCTTTATCCATTCATCTGTTGAAGGGCACTTAAGCTGGTTCCATAATTTAGCTATTGTGAGTTGAGCTAGTATAAACATTGATGTAGCTGCATTACTGTAGTGTAATGATTTTAAGTCCTTTGGGTATAACCCTGGGAGTGGGATAACTGGGTCAAATGGTGGTTCCATTCCAAGTTTTCTGAGGAATCTTCATACTGCTTTCTAGAGTGGATGCACCAATTTTCAGTCCCACCAGTAATGTATGAGTGTACATTTCCCCCTACATTCTCATCAACATTTATTGATGCTTATATTCTTGGTAATTGCCATTCTGACTGGAGTGAGATTTTTGATTTGCATTTCTCTAATTGCTAGAGATGTTGAACATTTTTTCATATAGTTGATTAATTGTATTTCTTCTTCTGAGAAGTGTCTGTTCAGTTCCTTAGCCCCTTTATTGATTGGGTTATTTGTTGGTTTTTTTTTTGGTGTTAATTAGATTAATGTAGATTAATGCTCTATCTGAGGTGCATGTGGTAAAGATTTTCTCCCATTCTGCAGGTGCTCTCTTCACATTCTTGATTGTTTCCTTTGCTGAGAAAAAACTTTTTAGTTTGAATCCATCCCATTTATTGATTCTTGATTTTACTTCTTGTTCTTTAGGGGTCTTGTTAAGGAGCTCAGTTCCTAAGCTGGAGATTTGGACCTACTTTTTTTTCTATTAGGTACAGGGTTTATGTTTTAATGTTTCCATCCTTGATCCACTTGAGTTTTGTGCAGGGTGAGAAATAGGGATTTAATTTCATTTTGCTGCATATGGATTTCCATTTTTCCGAGCACCTTTTGTTGAAGAGGCTCTTTTCTCTAATGCATGTTTCTGGTGCCTTTGTCTAGTATGAGATAACTATTTATATGGTTTTGTCTCTGTGTCTTCAGTTCTGTACTATTGGTCTA